ACACAGATTGTGGTGTAAAGCGCTTTGAGTATCTTGAAATAAGATAGAAAGGCGCTATACAAGCAGTCCATTTCTGCTTTTCCCTCTTCAGGGGTTGCCACAGCGAGTCATTCTCCTCCATCTTGCTCTGTCCTCTGCATCCTCTGTCCTCACTCCAACTACTGTACCTCCGTATCCTAACTGCATCCATATATCTCCACTTTGTCTTTTTCCTGACAGCTGCATTTCTAACATCCTTCTACCAATATACCCACTGTCCCTCCTCTGGACATGTCCAGACCATCTCAGTCTGGCCTCTAACTTTATCTCCCAGTTGTTCAACCTGTGCTGTACCACTGACGATTTATTTCCTAGACTTATCCATCCTTCATCTATCATCCGAAAAACTTATATCAGCTAAACTGTCACCCAGTTAAATTATAGCAGCTGCAATGCTAAAACACTAGAGGACAGGGAAAGATAGGAGAAGATAAAACATTTATTGCAGTCAATACCATCAATGCAATAATGCATATTTTCCTAATAATACAGTATACAGCTGTTGATTTTAAATCTGAATCATCTGCATTAAAACTTTGGATATTTAAACATTTGAGGAATTTTATTAAAACAAATTACAGCTTAAATGTTGTTGTGCAATTGTTTTAGAACAATTTTTTAAGACTCAGGGAGAAAAATCAGTAGTTTGCAGTCGGCTCTGATGTACATTTTTCTTCAGGTTGGATCTCTCCTGCTGAAAGTAAGTAAAAAAGAGAAAAGCTAATCTGTTGTGCAAATGAGCAGCAGCTGCTCATTTGGATGTGCACATGTGTCTGCGCACAGAGATGGTGTATGTTTCCCTCTGATATCATCATGTGCTGTGTGTTTGTGTATAATGTTCCGCCAACATGCTGTCTGACTGATGTCTGCTCCGTGTAGAAGGGTGATATAGCTCGTTTCTCAGTTGTGTTCACAGCATAGTATGAGTGTGTGTTTGGGATTTAGGATGGTCAGTCGAGCATCTCAGACACACACACACAGAAACACACACTATCAGAAGATAAGCAGAAGAGACTTAATCATCTCTAGATGTGAGGGGGCACTTCAACATATCCTGATATCTACACAACACCTGACTGTGTGTGTGTGTGTGTGTGTGTGTGTGTGTCACACAGAAATGGTTTGAGTTACAAATGTGAGCCAAATGGTTTAAGAGTCTTCTTGCATTAGAAGGGTTAGGGTGGTACTTTTTGTGTTCCACATTACTTCAGACCAAATTTTTCATTTTTTGCTTTAGCACACCGTTGGTAAACAATTTCTCTGTAGAGATTTAGAATCAGAATACTTTAGTAATACCAGGAGAAATCCTATTTCATATAGTATCCTGTAGACATTTTGACAAAATGGTCAGAGGGACACAGGAGAACTGGCTTAAATTCTTCATCGTGAAAATGACGAAACAAAACCAGAGCCCAGTAATACAAACATCGTCCACCACTTTGTAATAAAAACCTGGTCTGTTACCCAATCACCTTGACTTCTGGTTGGCCTGCTTGTTATTTCATTCAATTAATGTACTAAAAACAAAACTCATGGATTAAAAAGTTTCAGCAATATCTTCTACCTAATCTTAAATCTATTTACAGTAGCCCCTCGATGCTTCATGGTTTTACAATTGCAGACTCACTCTTTCGTGGATTTTCAACGTAAGATTGTACACAACACACTATTGTTAACTTTAATATTACTCACGTGATTGGGATGGTGCAGGATAAAAAGTTAACGGGAGTGAACAGGAGCGGGACAAAAAACAAAATCAAAACAAAACCAAAAAAATAACTACTGGTACTTCAGACAGACGCCGCCATTTTGTAGTTTTCTTTCAATAAGCCTATACTGTAATGCAAGTCAAAAGAACTACACAGCCCAGAAGCCAAGAGCGCTTCCGGCTGCTGCTTTCTGCTGAAATTCAAAGAACAGCAATGGAGGGAGCAAACACTAGCGGAGAAACCAAACCAAACATACTTTGAACAGGCGCTGCCATTTTGTAGTTTTCTTTCAATAAGCCTATACTGTAAGGCAAGTCGAAGGACCTACATGGCACAGAGCAAACATTAGCAGAGAAACCGATGTAGTAAAAATAGCTTTGCAACTCAAAGTTAGACGTAATGACTTAGGCAGCACGATGGATCAGTGGTTAGCACTGTTGCCTCACAGCAAGAAAGTCCTGGGTTCAATCCCCATTTGGACCTGGAGTTTTTCTGTGTGGAGTTTGCATGTACTTCTTGTGCTTGCATGGGTTGTCTCCAGGTACTCCAGTTTCCTCCCACAGACCAAAAACATGCATGTTAGGCTGCCTTCAGACGTAGGCCTCCCTTGCAAAAGAGATCTCAATGGGACTTGCCTGGTTAAATAAAGGTTAAATCAAATAAATCTATCTATTAAGCTCACAGAACTGACAGGAAAGTCACAAATAATTCTGAGGCTGAACTCATCCTTCAAGTTGCAGTAGTATCTTCACTGGCGAGTACCCACATAAAATTTTGCAGTACTGTACATACACATATGTTGTTAAAATTACGTAGGTTTAAGAGTTTATAACATTGTTTATAACATTGCAAGAGTGGGAAGAGTTTATAAAGCCTTAAAATATATATAAATAATAAACTAATATAGCGTTCCTACTTTGTGGTTTTTCACCTATCGCGGTGGTATCTGGAATATAACCCCTGCGATAATCAAGGGACCACTGTACACGTTTCATTGTTTTTAAAATGCCGGTAAACTTAAAACTCATTAAAGTATTTTATCGTATGAACTTTGAAAGCCTATTAATAATGACTTCAGTCATTAGGACTCGAATGAAAAGACAATGAGTGACTTTAAAAATGAAAAGTAAACGTTTTATCATTTTCTCTGCAGAATGATCTGTGTTGCGCTGCACAGTGAAACCTCAAATGTAAATGTAAATTAAATCTTAAAGTTGTTTGTCTGATGCCACAGACAAGCATCACTGAGGACATCATTGGCTCCTGAGTAACTCTGAAGCTCAGAGGACATTAGGATAAAAAAAAGTCATGAATGTTAAACACATCATTGATTATTTACCTGAGCCCATTCATGACTAAGCAATTAATTGTGATTTTTTTTTTCTTTCTGCTATATGAACACTGTACTGGCAGGAAAACAACAAACATAGGGTTCAGCGCAGATGGTTGACGGTGAGCCTTGTGCACCACAAAATGTGCGAAGCGTTTTGAGATCGTCTAAAGTTGATCGGGGAAAAATGGTCAAGAAGGAGACTGAGAAAAGGAGTGAGATTTTCCTCACTGAGGTTTGAGCCACTTTAACAGGTACTTTAATGGCCAGTCTGTCCAATTCTCTCACCAGTGTAGGTGAACACGTGCAACAATTTAGTCCACTCCTCGCTGTCCTGTTCTTCTGTAGCACTGTGTGTAATGGAGTTAACAGCTGGACACCACTTCTTTTAACACAGTCTACTCATGTGCTTTCTGTCGCCGTTTGATTTTTTTTTTTTCACTCTCCGTTTCTCTTCTTCGTTCACCCATTCGAACAGTGACCAGTTAAGACGGCTTGCCTTTGCTTCAATATGTCTCTAAACATTAAACAATAGTGCAGCACTGCAGATCAAACAATATGGATCAGTTTTATTGTTTCATTAATGCTGACTTTACAATGTTTATGATGGACATATTGCATCCACCTTTTCAAGGCAAATTATCTTTTTCTGAGAATGTTAATAAAGATAAAGGGGTAGCAGCAATAATTTCAAATAAAAGCAAAATCCTCTGCTTCTTGTTTTCTCTTAGAAGTAACTTTAAAGGAGTAAGGGAAGTAGAAACGTACAATATAGATTCTCAGCCATCCAAGACCTTCAGAGCAAGTTGATTCATCGGCAACAGAATTTTTGTTTTCTTGAAGACGCTTTATGTCAGGCGGCACGTTGACGCAGTTGGTAGAGCTGCTGCCTCTCAGCGAGAAGGTCGCCGGATCAAATCCTGGCCTCTGTGCATGCGTGGGTTTTCTCCAGGTACACCGGTTTCCTCCCACAGACCAAAAACATGCATGTTAGGCTGATTGGTAACTCTAAATTGTAGGTGTGACAGGGCGAATGGTTGTTTGTCTCGTTTGCCTCTATGTGTCCCTGTGATGGACTGAAGACTTGTCCAGGGTGTACCCCGCATCTTGCATAGTGACTGCTGGACATGGGCACCAGTGACCCAAACAATAAAGAAGCGGGTAAAAGATGATGGATGTTTTATGTCACATCCAAGTTTTGGATCCTAAGCTCACACCTAAAAACCTTTCGGTTTAAAACTGACAAAGCTACGTAGATGAGAAGTGAAAAGTCTTTAAGAATCAAAAAAATAACTTCAGTTACCTTCAATTAAACTTGTTAAGGTGTAGTCTCACCATGCTGTGGCAGTTGGGGGACTAGTTGATGACATATTGCAAGAAAATACATGCATTTTCCATTATCATCTTATTGAACTCTGATATTTGCGACTATGCTACCATCGGGACGTGTAGCTGTATATCGAGTGTCCAGGTTGTGAAAGTCGTGGCTGTTTTCTGTGCATGGGTTGCAAAACTGTATTCTCTGCAGAGGACATTATTTCACTGTCACACTTTTTAAATGAAGATATGCAGATCTGGACCAGTTTTCCCAATAATTATTATTCATGATCTATGTTGATTTTAAACCTGGACATGTGCCTTGGATATTTTCAGAGAGCGCTAGTGCACTATTGCAAAATTCAGATGAGCTGGGCTGTAGACATCTACACAATCTTTGTGACTATTTCAAGAGAACATTTATTGCACAAACTTTTTGGATATGGTTAAAAGTCAAGTGGCAGGGCTGCTTTCCTCTGCCACAAAACGTGCAGAACATTCAGGAGACTCTATTATGAAAATTGTTCGCCAACTTGTCACAGCCCAGAAAGATACAACCTTCAGGATTCAGGATTAGTCTTTTGTTTCTTGAACATATTTCTTACCTTTAAGTGAACATCCCAGACCTGAGCGTCATACTGCTGGTGTTGGGAAACGCACAGTCCGGCCTGCTGGGCTAACTCACAAAACAGTCTCAGAGTTTCACCTCGCAGTGGAGCGAACACCAACGCCATGCCCTGAGTCCAACAAAAAAGGATAATGAAGCAAAAACAGTATTTTTAAATTAAATGGCACCTGATTTTATGCAACTTTTGCTTTGTTCACACAAACCAAGTCACAAAGTTAGTTTCTGGTTGCTGTAAACATCTCAAAATAAACTTAAGACTGTTGAAGCCCCTTCTTTAATTAAATAAACAGACATATACATTTGTGTGATTTATTTTTCTTCTTAAATAGGTATAGTGTGTTTGCAAGGAAAAAAAGACAATGATATGAGACATTGTGAGTGTGTGTGTACATGCATCCCAGACATATCACAGGCATCCAGCGAATACTAAGAGGCTTACTAACAAGTTCAAAGTGTCTTTGAAATCCTTCAGCTTTCCGTTGTATTTCATGTTGATCATGTTTTATTTTTTTGTCGTTTTAATTAAACGAAGCAAAGCGAGAAGCTTACACGAGCCCAGAAATGTAGGAAACACACAAAGAAATGCAGAATGACACAAACACCGGCTAAAAGAACACAAAGGGAGTAAACGCAGCAGGATCACTCGGTTTGACAAATGATAATTCATCTGTATATCCAGCTGGAATTTTTTTCTCCTCTGTCTAAAAGGAGAAAAAGCAAACAAACATAAAATTCCGTCTAGCACTAATCAGCTGAATGAGGGGATCCAGCCCAGCGGATGGACCACCTTTTGTCAGAAACAACAAATTAGTGCCATTAGACGGGAGAAGTAATTGCTTTGTTAATTGTTTAATCAGCTTAGCAAATTATTAAATATTTGCCAAAGCTTGTTGTGGCAGCAACAGTCTGATGGCCGACACTCAAATCATATTAGCCCCCGAATTATCTCCACTGGATTAAAGAGAGAGACACGAAGAGACTTAACATGCAGCTGTACGACAACAGCCAGATGTCACGCGAGTCATTTACCAGCTTTCAGTTTTAAAACCGCAGCAGCTTCTGCATTGAACTAAACTTACTCAGGCTGCAGGTGTTACTGCTGCTCTTTGTGACAAACACACAAAACATTAAAAGATATTAAAGACGGAAAATGTCGATGGGTAATATTACATTTTTAAATCTACATCCAGTTGCTTCAGGTTTTAGTTGGTAGCTCTAATCAACACACAAATGCAAACAAAAGTAGAGAAAAAGTACCATTAATTTTTTACAGAATCATAATTAGGTAGTGTTTTTTCTTAAATAAGAATATTTTTATCTATACAAGCAAAGGCACTGAAGCAATGGTCAAAACTTTAATTTTAACACAAAATCTAAAAAAAAAGTCAAAGTCCTGAATTCTGTCTGCTAAAAGCAGAGAACGCTGGGGTGGACCGCGTAAAGAGCCGTCACCAGAGCTGCTTTAAATTTTAGTCACTTTTAGAGAGAACGGTTCACAGCAACGCCTGATTTTATGTACATTTTGTTCAGTATTTACCTTTGAAACTCACTGAATAAGTCTTACACCATGGCCTTGTTTTGTTGCTTCTCTCCTTCCCTTCCTCAGTTCCTTATCTCCTTCCCTTCAGTTGGATTTCCATAAACTGAGCTCCGCTCTAACAGTTTGGCCCGTGTACTTAAACGCACCCCTCTTCCCTCAGATGAATAGAAATCTCAAGCCTATCTCTTCAAGCCTTTTGCTTTTCCCCCCGTATTTGCTTTGACTGTCACAGCATGGGGTCTTATCACGAGGCCAAAAGGGAGAAGTTGCCTTGGATTTATGATTAAGGGGAAGGCAAAGAAGAGAGAGAGCAAGATCAGAGCGATGCATTCAGGTTGCCTATAATAAGCATTAAAGCATTACATGATATTAATCCTGTCAGACTATTAATGAGTGTAGGCTTTTTAGGGGAAAGCCTAATTATGAGTGAGATGAGGGAGAGGTGAATTATAGGAAGAGGATAAGCAGAGATGTATACAGTAGACACACACACACACACACGCACACTTACATTGGGTCGCAGTAATCTCCTTATGGCATCAACCAGGCTGGCTCTGTACTGGTCCAGAAACAAACTGAGGGGGAGATGAGGCTCAGGTTAGAATGCATTGTTACGATGGCAGGGCCAGATAAAGCAGCACGCTATTTATTTTCTTTTGTTTACGAATAAATCCAGCGACAGGAGAAGGAGAAAAACAATTTGCATGACCAAGATGGTTTTTTTTCTTTTTTGTTTGCGTCTGAGTTTCCACGAGCATTCGCATCAGCCTGCAGTCCAGGCACAGAGCGGAATGAAGAACAACACGAAAAAATTAAATATCATGCACCTGTAGGGAACAAATAAATGCATGCATGTACAGAAATGTGCATGTTTATTCATCAAATAATTAAAAACATTAACATATAGTGGGAAAATACCTGCAGTAAGATGTAGGATTGAAAACATCAAACACAACACAAAATTTAAACTAATACACAAAATGAATTAAAAAAAATTAAATTTAACATACAGTGCATCATATTACTTCTAAAGACTGGTTGGATATCATGTACTTTTTGACTATAGGTGCTTTTGCACTTAAACCCTTGTATCCCTATGCAGCTTTTCAGTAAAAAACATCTTTCTTTTCATTTAAATAAACTGCAGTCATGTATTCAAATGCTATTTATGACATTTTTCATTAGTTAGTCATCCAGACAACGACAGACAGATGTGAATTGTAACCAGTCCAGTTGATTTATGTGAAAAAAGCATGAAACTGATAAAAAATGGAAATACAAAGTTGTTGCCTGACAGCAGGTATAGCCCACGGTGCCAAACCTTAATTACTTTGAGCAATTCATCAGTAAGTATGGAGAACAGGAAAAAGGCATTTCTCTTCTCTACTCCCTTGATTAGTTACAAGTTACAACAAGACCTAAAACATCCCAACTTAATTATATGACAATCTTTTAAACTCATCTTAAGGACAACAGAAAAAACATCATGAAACAATCTTCATTATTACAGGTCCATCATCGGGGTCAAATGTTGAAGTTCTCCTTAGGAGTGACAAGGATGGATACGAATGAGATCATCAGAGGTACAGCACAGGTTGAACAACTGGGAGATAAAGTTAGAGAGGCCAGACTGAGATGGTTTGAACATGTCCAGAGGAGGGACAGTGGGTATACTGGTAGAAGGATGTTAGAAATGCAGCTGCCAGGAAAAAGACAAAGAGGCGATACATGGAAGCAGCTAGAGAGGACATGGAGGTAGTTGGAGCGAGGACAGAGGACACAGTGGAAGAGAAGGATGGAGGAAGATGAATTGCTGTGGAGACTCATGAAAATGGAAAAGCTTAACGAAAAAGAAAGATAATTAAGGTTTTTGGCGAACAAAACAAAACAAAATCTGCTGAGACTATAGGACCTCATTAATACCATATATACTTTCCCCACATCAAATTTCTAATCTGGGCGACTGTGGCTGAGTGGATAGAGCAGTAGTCATCCAGTGCAAGAGTTGGGGGTTTGAATCCACCAGCAGTCACATGCCGAAGTGTCCCTGAGCAAGACACTGAACCCCTCATTGCCTCCGATGTGTGTCCCATCGGTGTGTGAATGTGATAAAGCTCTGATTATTCTTTTTAGAATGACGTGTTCAATTAGCTTTGTAGAGATCTAGTCGAGTGCTGTATGAATGGGTAAATGAGGACACAGATTGTTGTGTAAAGCTGACGACGCTGAAAGATGTCCGTCACCTGCGCCTATTTATGAATGCCATTTTTATTTTACTGTTTAATTTTTTTTTAAGAAAAAAAGTGCCACAAAACCAAAAATTGAAACATGGTCACACATTCTGTCACAAACAAACAAAACAAATGCAACATATGAAACGAACATGTGAAATCATTACAAGAAAATACAGTTTTGTCTGCTTTAATACCAAAACAGTTGTGTTATGTAATATTAGTGGTGCTATGTAGACAGGCCCTACTATAAACAATACTCTTTGACCCAAAAATGGAGGCAAACACCCATCATGTGTTAAAGGGATTAACTTTACTGTGACATAATGCGACAAAATGCAAAAACACACACACCGCCCAGATCGACTCCAATCATTCTTAACTTAATGACACTTGTCTGTCTAACCACAACGACAGATTCAATCCATTATGAACATAAACGGTGTGTGTGTGCCTATTATCACAGATGAAAGTGGAGTAATTTGACTAAAATGCAACAATATGATGCAGATTTGAAATAATCCTGCACATCTGTCCCAACTGGCCAGTGGGGTAGTAATCTGGACCCCACCATCATCATCATCAGTCCTCTAATCCCAGAGAGGAATCAAAGATGCTCAGAACAGAATCGCCCGTTTGCAGTGATGCATTTTTAAAGTACTTTCATCGGTTAAAAATGTACTTACCTTCAACAAATGCAGCTCGACAACCTACGTTTTGCGTCATCGCTTGTATATAAAATGAAATATATCAAAAATCACCCCTGTATGAACTCTTGCCCCAGCCAGGATGTGTGAGCACACATGTAAAGTTTATTATTCTTCCAAATGCAGACAGAGGCGTGAAGTTTATTTGACTTGAAAGGTGAGAGGTTTCTCTTTGGTTTGTTTTGCCACAGATATCAATTCACAGGAAAAGTGAGTGGCAAAGAAAACAAGGAAGTGAGCTCGTTGGGTGGAGGTAACAACTGAAACACACACACACACACACACACTGAGGCCAAGAGAAGGACAGAGTGTCATACAGGGGGCAACGGTTCATCAGGAAAATTGAAACGCTGCTGATATGACAAACATACTGTGATATAAAAGATAATTATTACACTTATAGAAATAGTGAAGTACAACAGACACATAATTAATCTAAATTATTAATACAGCATAGAAAATAATGTATTATTGTTACTATTATAAAGATGTGTATTTACTTTTTTAATTAATTTGTGTAGAAGAGAACAAAAAAGGTACAAATATACACAAAATATTTAATATTTCAATTAAAGCTGATCTATGTTAGTTCACTGCATTTTTCTTGACAATTTTCAAGGTTCAAGGTTCTTTATTGTCATTCACATCACATGTGGTACATGAGGTGGAATGAAATTGTGTACTCAAGGTCCCAGTTACACCCAAAAATAGTAAAAAAATATAATGTATAGAAAAGAAACAGTATACAAGGATCTAAGATATACACTAAACAATAATATAATATAATATGGTGTATTAAACAGCAGCCTGAACACGAGTCTGTTGTGAGCAGATGGGTATGAATGTATTTATATATAATATATTGTTATTATTGTTATATTTTATCATTTCAGTCTATTGTCACGTTAAATATATGAGTGCTCACTCAAGCTTGACGTTTAGAAAAGTACATAAAACAAATTTGCATTAAATAAACTAATTCGATATGTGAAAAGATACAAATAAATACAAATTGCCTCATTAATATCAGATAAATCATAATTTCCATTAAGCATAAACTATCGTTTAAGAAGTACAGTAGTCCCTCGCTGCTTAGCGGTTCATTTATCGCAGACTCACTCTATCGTGGTTTTTCAAATAAGATTGGACATGACACACAACTGGCTGATTGATGGATGAGCCGCACGATTGGCATGAATTTTTATTTAAAATGAATTATTTTAAATTATTTAGCACCTGCTGCACATTTGTACAGCCCAGAGCTGCAAAAAAGCTTCCTCCTGCAGCTTTGTGCAGCCCATACTGCAGGATAAACTTCCTGCTGCAGCTGATCAGCTGATCTCCATGCAGAGCGGAGAAGTGGGCGTGGCCAAGATCACTTGCAGGTGGCAAAGAGCAGAGGAGGCAGGGAGCTGAATTCATGACATTCTGTGCTTTTTTTAGGGCATTTAAACTTTAGAAACATTCTTTAGAATATTGCAAGAGTGTGGAAAGTGTTTAGAACGCCTTCATATATATATATATATATATACTAAAATAAACTACTACTTAGTACTATTCCTACTTCATGGTTTTTCACTTATCGCGGGGCTTCAAGGTACGGATCCCCCGCAATAAACGAGGGACTACTGTATTTGTATTTACTTCATATCTTAACCTTTTTCATGTGGTCCCAATATTTTCATAAAGTTATGCTACTGAAAAATGTCCCATTTCACAAATTAATTCCTACTCTGTACTTTTCCTTATAATACCTTATACTATACTAATACTAATATTTTATTACTGAATCAAGTTTCATAATTATTATAGACTTAACCGTACAGTGGAACGTCTGTCTGTCACACACTGAGTTTAAGGGTAATACTCCTCCAGATTAGCTGCTCTTCCTCTCTAAGGTCACTTCCAATGCACCCAGACAGTCAGAGGACTATTGTCTCGCAGTGACACCCCGCCCCACCCAGAGGAGCCCGGTGAACTCCAGTCAAAACTGAGCGGAGGTCAAAGGACGAAGCAAACGTGTGAGGGAGTATTGCTTCTATATTTGTCCTCTTACACAAACGTGAACATATTTTCAAGGTCGAAGAGGTCAGACTGGTGAAACTAATGACATCAGCAACTGAGCCCTATTTCCCAACAGGAAGTTTAATAGTTAAGGTATGAGCTATAATTGTTTTCACCTCTTGGGTTGGATTGCATCTACAATTCAAAGTTATTTTCATTGTTATGTTCAAAATGTTTGTTTCCTGATGTTTTTAATTTGAGGTTTAACCGTTTTTGCAGCTTTCCTACACTTTTTAAATTTAAAATGCAAACTTTTCACACACAAACTTTCAGATTTTCTGTACATTTTTTTGTCATTTGTTGTGTCAAAGAACTGTTTTGTTACTATAATATAATAATATTATACAAAGGTGTAGTTTATTAAGTGCATGCTTATACAAAACTATTATTAGCCAGCAGTCCTGTAACTGCCTGTGTCCAGATGAATTTTAAAGAAGATCTCAGAAAGTAATCATTTTTTAATCACTTGACTACAGCTGATTAAGTTTTAGAGTCATCTCTATTAAATATGGCTGCCACCACCTACCAACCTTACCAAACACAAAATGCTATAATTTAATCAGTTTGCCAGAC